GACAGAATGAATGTAGCAAGGCCTGCTGGCCATTCCCTGCTCCTTCCCTCCTCTTTCCCCTGTCCTCCGGCTCTTTGGAGCCACACTCCACTGGCTGGCTCCATGCCTGGCACTCTCAGGAGCTCCTCACACCATCCGGCTGAGGAGAAAACCCCTTTGGCTCAGTGGATTCCCTGTTCTTAGAATGGCTTCCACCCCTGGTAGAGAGCAAGTGCTTCTTTTGGAAGGATTTTTCTTTTTGTGTCGCTTGGATGGAGGGATGACTGATGGCTTGATGAATCGCAGGCTGAACTCTGACTTTCAGGTCCTAAATATAGACTGTGCACGTGCTGGAAGAGCTAAATTTAGCAGAGCTGGCACGGGAGGGGAAGGGGGTGGCTCTGGGGCTCTGTCTCCCGGGACTGGATGGAAACAGCTCTGAGTGATGCCTTAGCAGCTGCTGCGGCCTGGGATTCATTTACCCATGTTCCCGGCAGGGAAGGAGGTGCTTTGGGAATTTCATCTTAGTTCATTGGTTTGTTGGAGGGCTATGTTGAGGGTCATTTTTGAGTTTTTTTAATAACAGATCAGGGAGGCTTCTGTCTGCCTCCTCCAACTGATTTGTTTTCTTCCATTTAGGTTGTAGGCAGGTGCTGTCCTCCTCAGGCCAAGTTCTCACCTCCTGGTGGGTTATTTCTAATTCTGTCCTTTGCTGCCCCAGATCTCCTTTGTTTCATTAGATGAGCAGGCGCTAATTATTCAGACTGAAGGTCAGAATGAGAGTGGATCTCTAATGCTGCCAAATTGCAATGCCCTGGGGCACCCTTTCTGGTTGAACATCCCAATGGCCTGGCAAACTTCAGGGAAAGTCACTTAGTGGCTCATCTTTGTTCAGGTTGGGGAGAAGAGAGGAAGAAATAAGATCCCTTAATCCCGACCTCTCTTCCAGTAGTGTGGGAAGAGAACATTAGTGTAGCACTTAGCCTCTTCCTGGCAGAAAGCAGGTAGTCGATACAGGGTAGCATCAGTTCAGGACACAAAATGTGCCTCCTGGCTCTCCATCTCCCCTCCCTCTACCCCAATGGGCCACCTGTGGTCGGAGAAGCCACAGTAAGCATCCATTTGCCATTTCTCCTCCATTAGGAAGAATCCGTGTTCCTCTCCTATGGTAAGATAGAAAGAGCTCATCTGCATGTCGATTGCTGTCTTTGGGTGATGACAACTGAAAATACATTCTGAAAAACCTCTACAATCACTTTCACTGATTAGACTTACTTATGTAGCCGAATTAAAGAAAAGAGGAAGAGAAATCATCTCCTCACCTGCCAAAGAAGAAATCGTATTCGGTTGATCCCACTGTGTTTTCTTTCACTTCTCCCTGGTTCCCCGAATGCAAGAGTTAGAGAACCGCTGGGGTAGATGCACCCTATCACTAAGTAGGACAAACCAAGGGCCACTCACACGATGCCATTTCCCCCTCACCTTCCTCCCTCCCAGTGCCTATGAGAGACTGGCTGTTTTCACCTCCAAAAAAGGAAGACGAGAAAGAGTCTGGCCTGCTGATTGTTAAATGACTTCATGCTCAACATTTAGGGACAATACTCAAAGTGATTATAATTTAGGGGGCTCCCAGACCGTGTGTGCTTTGAGAGACACAACCAACTCCCTGCTAGGAAGTAAGGGCAAA